ACACACACACACACACACACACACACACACACACACACACACACTCACTCACTCACTCACTCACTCACTCACTCACTCACTCACTCACTCACTCACTCACTGGCTTGCAGCAGGAAAGTGCATTTTTAATGGTAAGATAGGACATTATGGATCCCAAGATCTGAGAACAAATGAAACCGGTTAGGATGTTGAAGACTAAATCTTTAGTAGCAGCGCATCGTGACTCTGAAGTTTGTGGAGGGTGGGGGGAGTTTCCCTTCATCCGAAACAACTGCATCATGCCTGTTCGTTCAGAAAACGCACACTTTTGGAAACTTTGCATAAACAGTTAGTGCATTTCACACTGTGTGCTTGGGCTGGAGAGATCTGTTTTCTACAAGCATCTGATTGTTCTTCAAGCTTTTGAGACTTCACGTAGCGGCTAAAATCGGCAACTTGCCTCTCTAAAGTGCCATTTATGTAGCAAAACATCCTAACCCTCTTGACAAACATATACAGCTCTATGAAACCTGAGAGAATTTTTTTAAGCGCTGCAGTCATCGTGAAAGTCATCTATGTTGAAGAATATTGTCTCTCTAAACGCTAGTCCTTTATCTCGTGCACTTTTAACCTTCCATAAAATATTCAGAGTTGAGTCTGGCTGTATGCCATAGATTTGGGTATCTTGCTCTGTGGATAGAGGAATTTTAGTGTTTGTTTTTCATTTTAAAGGAAACAACAAGCTGAACTTCTTTTTTTTTTGTAGACAAATACTTTAAAAGTTCACACATGAAAATGTTTTGCTCATATCTTCACAATCTCTTCTCGCTTGAAGTAAATCCAGATATTTAGGTAAGCTCAGATGCCTTCTTAATTTTTGCAAGCGTTACTTCTTTGGCATATTAGCACCAAGATGATGCCCTGTAAATGAAATGTGCAGTCTCAGTGGATTTTGATGTTCGCCATCCCTTCCCTTGGTGACTTTGTACTTCCTGTGTGCCCTTTACCCAACTTGCTAGACGCTGTCACCTTTTTTATCCAACGCGCCAGGTTTAAGTGCGTTACATTAGGCTTCTATGTGGATTCGGCATTAGACTGATCATAGGATAATTTGGCAGTCACTAATAGCCTGAGCAAGTCCTATGCCATCAGAAATGTCTGATGGCATAGGACTTGCTCACACAGCGGTTGCCTGTCTTTTCTGCTCTGACAGCGTAATGGAGCTGCTTCTGCAGTGTCTTAGTGTCACACGTCTTTGCACAGCGAAGACAGCCCCAGAGTGGTACATGAGAAAGCCTTTGGGTCTCCATTCCAGCTGCAGAAGAACGAATAGAAACAGGTAGGGTTGGGAAAGAGCTTTCATTTATGTCTTTGCAAATTCAAAGACATTAAGAAATTAAATCATAAGATGGTATATGGTGCTGACAGTTTAGGGCCATTTCAGATAAACGGTGGCACAGATCCAATCCTTTTGCCTTCCCAAGTGTAGCTTTACTCTACAAACCCGGCACTGCACTGAGCTGGATCGTGGTGCCCCTTGCTGGGTAGAGGTCAGTTCTGCAGTCTACTGGTGGGTCCTACCTGCAGCACGAACTCCAGCCGAATCCCTATAAATCCTTTTTTTTCATAGATTCATAGATTAAGGGTCGGAAGGGACCTAGTAGATCTTCTAGCCCGACCCCCCGCCAGGGCGGGAGAACAACAAAAACCCCAAAAAGAGAAATGGGACTCAAACGAGTCCAGCTAGGTGGGCATCCAGCCTCTTCTTAAAGACCCCCAGGGTAGGGGCCAGCACCACTTCCCTTGGAAGTTGGTTCCAGCTCCTAGC